CCAAAATGCTGAAAAAATAAAAACCCTCAAGCCCGAAAACCCGGCTGTCTCTGTCCAGGTCCGCAGCAGTGTGCTTGCGCCCACACTCCACTCCTGAGCTGTGCTCAAAGGGGCGCTTAGGGCTTTTGGCGGGCTTAGGGCTTTATCATTCTAGGGGCTGGGCGGCCCTGATCCCTAATTAAACCCTGTATTAGGGTTTTAGGGTTTAGGCTTTGGGGTTTGTAGGGTTGTAGGGAGTCAAGATTCGAGCTTCGTTCATGGCTCGGGTGCTTTGAGATGCAGGGTTCAGGTCTCAGGGTTTGGGAGGGGCGCCCTAAGACTTTAAGGCCCCTAAACTCGGACACTAAACCCTGAGCCCCTAAAACTGTAAGCCCCTAAACTCAGACACTAAAGCCTGAGCCCCTAAACTCGGAGCCCCTAAACTCGGACACTAAACCCTCAGCCTCCTAAACCCTAGCAAAACCCTCTAACTTGGCTGACTTCTGAACCCCTCTTAACAATTCAACTTCTGGGCTCCTTATTGTAGTTTCCTGCAGAAGCCCAAAAAGTTAAAGTCCTAAGAGCCAGCCGGAAGAAAGCCAAGAGAAATCCTAAACCCTTGAACCCCTAAAGGCCAAGTAAAGCCGCCTGAACCCTTTAAGCCCCTAAGCTCAAACTCTAAACCCGAAGCCCTCTGAACCCTGACGACCCGATAAACCCTAAACCCCTAAACTCCTGAACCCCTAACCCCCCCTAAACCCTAAACCCTAAACCCTAAACCCTAAAGCGCTCCCAGCCCAGACCAGCGGCTGAGGATTGGATTGCAGTGCCGTGGGAACCTCACCTGCACATCAGGGTTTAGGGCTTAGGGATTAGGGTTTAGGGTTTAGGGCTTAGGTTTTAGGGTTTGAGGATTTCAGGGTTTAGGGTTTTGAGGGTGTTGGCGAGGTTTTGGAGGGTTTGAGGATTCTGAGCATTCTGAGGGTTTTCAACATTTTAGGATCTTGAAGAGTTTTGAGGTTTTGAGGACTTTGAGGGTCTGGGGGCTTAAGGGCTTAGGAAGGGCGACTGATGTTGTCCAGGGTTTAGGGTTTAGGGTTTGGTGGCCCCACATGACGAAGCTGCCGCTGCCGGGGCAAGGTTGAGGGCTTAGGAGGTCTTGCGCAGCACTAGGGTCCAGTGAAGTGGGGAGAAGTGCAGGCTGCGCTGCTGAACCCTTGCCCTTGGCCTAAACCCTAAACCCTAAGCCCTAAGCCCTAAACCCTAAACCCTAAGCCCTAAGCCCTAAACCCTAAACCCTAAACCCTAAACCCTGAACCCTAAACCCTAAACCCTAAACCCTAACCCTAACCCCTAAACCCTAAACCCTAACGGGTTAAACTAGAGTTAAGGGTTTTTCGGGGTTTATGGGGCTGACGCTACAAACACTCCTGCACCTCCCTGCCATGCAAGGAGCAAGAGCTATCCTGTTAGCAAGCCCCTTGTGCCGCCTTTTTTCTCGACGGAAAGGAATGCTCACCACCGGCAGCACATCAGTCTTTGACAACCGCTCAGCGGTTTGTGAGTCCTACCACTACTTCTCGGGCAAGGCATTCTGAGCGCCACGACCAAGCTCGGAGGTGGAGCTTGTTCGAAATACATTCGCTTCGCGTGAGCCCTAGTATTTTAGGGTTTAGGTAGGGTTTAGGGTTTAGGGCTAGCATATTAGGTTCTCCAGGAACCCAGGTTTCTTAAAGCCATGGTCCATGGTGTTGGCTCATGAGGTAGGAGGTCACACCTCCTAAGCTCCAAGGCAACTAACTTACTCTGCACCTCCATGTGAAAAGGGAACCTGAGCCCGAAGAACAAGGGGGGGGAGCGGACGTAGGTGTGAAGGTTGTCAAGTCCCTCGAGGACGCATGCCCAGAACGTCGTAGCCGACAGACCAGCGGCCCTGTATCAAGATCACTTCCCATGATGCAAAGGCAGAATCCAAGAAGTCCGATTCATTCTGTTCAACCCAAACCCTAAACCCTAAACCCGCAACCCTATGCCCTAAACCCTAAACCCTGAACATCCTTGACGTATAGCTACCCGTGAACCTTTAAGTAGATCCTAAATCCTGATGCAGGGCACCTACCCGAAAGGCCCTCAGTTCTTCCACGAAGCCGGCTAGCCGCTAGCCATGACCTCAAGGCCAGCGAGATTTAGGGAGGACTGCAGGGTTTAGGGCTTAGGGTTTAGGATTTGTTTCGGTTGTCGTGACGTGGAGCTTCAGTTGAAAGAGTAGTTGTTGTGATTGTTTCTCTGATTACCCAAGCCCCAAACTAAAAAAAAAAACACGGTCTAGGGCAAACAGGAGGGGAGGTATTGGGATCCTGGGAGCTGGGTGGAGAATATTTCGTGCCCCACGATGCAGCTGATAGAGGGCCTAGTCCACTGTTCTCGGGTTAGGTTTGCCTTTGACGTTCAGGGGTCAGCGTTGAAAAAGGTCTGGGAGTGGAGGAGCATCTACAGTAGGCAGGGATCAGGGGCTAGGGACTCAAGGAGGTCAAAACAAAACCGGGTTTAGGGTTTAGGGTTTAGGGTTTAGGGTTTAGGGTTTAGGGTTTAGGGTTTAGGGTTTAGGGTTTAGGGTTCACCCTAAACCCAAGCCTTGGGGCGAATCAAACGAGTTCGTGGCCGAAAGGCTGGGGGCTTGTGCATCCCTCCACCCCAAAATGCGATGAGCCCTCAAACCTAAACCCTAAACCCCAAACTCTAAACCCTGAACCCTAAACGCTTCAAGGATGAGCTCCGAACCCTACATCCGAAGCCCTTGTGCTGAACACGCGGCGCGAGTACGGCTTGATGTCGGCGAGCTTCTTTGCGTGAAGCCTGTTTTTCTCACAAGCCCTAAACTCTAAAACAGTTTAGGGTTAGGGTTTAGAATTTAAACCCTAGACTCTAAACCTTAAACTCGCAGCCTTAAACCCTAATCCTCTTTCCAAAAGGAGCTCCCTTACTTCGGGCTTATAGTAGCTGTACCGTCGTACCCGGGAGATGAGCAGGTTCGTGATAGACATGGGCACTGGGATCCAGTCAATTCCAACTACATGCCTATATACTATATTCCTGGGGCTGTCTTCCCGAAACCCCAAACCCACAAACCCTGAACCCTAAGCCCTAAACCCTAAACCTCTCAACATGCCTAGGACTGTAGGCTTCTGGTTGAGGCTTTGGGGCTCAGTCTGGAGTGGGAGGGTTTATGGTTTCGGCTTTGGGGTTCGGGTTCAGGGTTTATGTGTTTCAGGGTTTAGGGTTTAGGGTTTCGGGTTTAGGGTTTCAGGGTTTAAGTTTAGGGCTTAGGGTTTATGGTTTCGGGTTTAGGGTTAGTTTCAGGGTTTTGGGTTTAGGGCTTATGGTTTCGGGTTCAGGGCTAGTTTCAGGGCTTAGGGTTTAGGGGGCTTTCGGCGGCCTTTCCGCGCGTGCGCTGGCCACTTGCCTTCCTTCGTGGACTTTGCGCTGAGGGGCCGGGCAGAGGTTGAGTTTAGGGTCTGGGCTTTGGGCGGAATCATTCTAAACCCTTAACCCTAAACCCACCCAGGTTAGAGCTACCCATGAACCTTCTAGAAGTGCCTACAGGCTTGGGGCTTCAGGGCTTTGGGACGTGTGGGGTCTAAGGTTGCGTGGTTGGGGTTTCTGATCTAGACGTTGGGCTCTATCTGCAACTGCTTGGAGGGTTAGGGACTGAGTTTCCGGCTGTGGCAAAAGGGTTTGCTGCTCGTACTTGCTGGGCTTGGGGTGTAGGGTTTAGGGTTTAGGGTTTGAGGTTTCGGGTCATGGGTGGACTACCCGGTGTTTACGCTGCCAGAGGGGCTACGTACACACATAAGCTACGTGCTACATGGTAAGCTCGTCCATCGGCAAGACAAAATACAGATGAGATGCTACGTTGTGTGGGGTTGTACCTTAAACCATATACCCTATCCCTTAACCCTAAACCCTAAAGCCTAAACCCTAAACCCGAATCCCCAATCCATACCTCAACCCCTTCGCTATACTTGCCTCTGCCCCTATCAACCTTCGCAAGTATACCGTGGCAAGCTGCGCACTTCCGACATCTCTGCGTCGTTGAGGCCACCCCTGCGCATGTCTTGGGGTAGATACCGGGGCCCTTAGTATGGGGCCCGTCCATACTTCCTGTATAGGGCTTAGAGTTTAGGGTTCTGTGTGCCCCCTGTATTGTCTTTATACATATATATATATATATATACCCCGTATGTATGTACGCTATCAACCCCCAGGGCCCATGCTTCAGAACCCCTTTAAGAGAAGGTGTGGGACCACATGGCATTTCCAAAAAGAGGGGCGCCCCGAATCTCCCCCCAACATTGTAGAATTTCCTTACTCGAGACCTAAATAGAGCACCCCTGTGTTCGGAAACCCCTAGACCCCAAACCCTAAACAGGGGGACCATGTAAACCCCTACCCTAAACCCTGAACCCTGAACCCTAAACCCTAAACCCTAAACCCTAAACCCTTAGAGCATCGAAAAGTTTGGGGGCCTTCTCGTCCGAAGGACTGTGGGCTCAAGGCGTTGAGCAGTTGGGGCGTATTCTGCTTTACGAATTGGAGTTCAGGATTTGGGCTTCAAGGTTTGGGATTTAGGGCTTATAGAGGGTTTATATGGAGGGTTTTGGAGGTTTTATTATGTTTGAATGTTTTACATGGGGTTTGGAGTTCGAAAAGGGTTTTAAGCTGATGTTATAAGAGGTGATGGACTTGAGGTCTTTACTTGTGGTTTTTGAGTCTAGGGACTTGGATTCAGCGTCTTAGGTTGTTGGGGCCACGTGAATTTGCGGGCTAAAGCTCCCACCTGGCCCATGTCACTCGAAACCCTACGCCCTAAACCCTAAACCCTAAACCCTAGACCCTAAGCCCCAAACCCTAACCCTAATCCCTAATCCCTAAACCCTAAACCCTAAACCCTAAACCCTAAACCCTAAACCCTAAACCCTAAATTTCGAATGAGTATGATCTGTAGTCTGTAGTCTATTGTATCAAGGAGTTCCATAGCCATTCCGCCTCGCTTTGGGTGCTGCCTCGATTTTGGGTGCTGCTTCAGCGCGTGGGCTTCGCGCTGAAGCAGCACGCTGAAATTGAGGTGGAACGATAGTCGAGGTGGCACGCTGTGAAAATCAACTGGGTTTCGCTAGAAAGGCTATTTTGCTTGAGAAGAAACATGCCAGGCCAAATTCCCGTGCCAAATGCATGCTGCCTCGATTTGGGTGCTGCCTCGATTTTGGGTGCTGCTTCAGCGCGTGGGCTTCGCGCTGAAGCAGCACGCTGAAATTGAGGTGGAACGATACTTGAGGTGGAACGGCTAGGGAAACCCTTGATTGTAAGGCGGAAATCTGGGCTGTAATTCTGTACACTTCCGTATTCATCGGAATCCCGGACCCGCACCTGCCTACCCTAAGCTCAAGGTTTAGGGTTTAGGGTTTAGGGTTTAGGGGTTTAGGGATTACAGTGGGACCTGGCCCTAAACCCTAAACAGTTATAAGGCTCCTGTGTTGCAAAGGAAACCCCCAAAAAAAGGGGGACCGTTCTCTGGAGAAGCCCTCATGGAGGGCTTGAGGGGATGGGCTTGAGAGGCACCCCAAAAATTTAGGGTTTCGGGTTTAGGGCTTAGGGTTTAGGGTTTGGGGTTTAGGGTTTAGGGTTTAGGATTTAGGAAGCCCCCAAGGGCCTGCCACCAGAGACGCCCACCCAAACCAGATTTGGGTTCGTCTTCGCAGGCAGGCTATGCTCGTAGTGGCGCTGGTCCTCTAAGGGGTTTAGGGTTTCGGGTTTAGGGTTTAGGGTTTAGGGTTGGGCTAGGGCTAATTGCTCAAGGGTTCTTAAAAGGAAATAGTACTCCTGTCTTAACCCTCTTGAAGGCTTATGGTTGCTCTTGGAGTTTGAGCTTTTTGCAGGGTCTAGGGTTTAGGGCTTTGGGTTGAGGACTTGGGGTTTGAAAAGGGCTCAGAATTTAGACGATCCGGAGAAACCCTAGTTGAAACCCTGAACCCTCAGCCCCTTACTCTACACCTTAGCCTTAGCCCTCTGGAGCTCTACACCTTGAACCCTCTGAAGCCCCTAAACCCTAAACCCTAAACCCTAAACCCTAAACCCTAAACCCTAAACCCTGAACCCTGAACCCTGAACCCTAAACCCTAAACCCTAAACCCTAAACCCTAAACCCTAAACCCTAAACCCTAAACCCTAAACCCTAAACCCTAAACCCTAAACCCTAACCCGTACGTTCCCACTGCATCAAGCGCAGTCCAGCGCGAACTGGCGTTCCGGCATGGAGGCGGTCGAGGCAACCACTTTGGCAGTTCCGCAGGCATCCCTGTACCTGGGCAGAACATTCAGTGGACTTGTGGGAGGAATCCTTACTAAAACTAGACCCAAGAGTACCCTAGCAATAAAATGGGTGCCATTTTTGGTTTAAAGGGGCTTATAAGGCAACCTAACCCCCCCCTCCAAAAAAGGCCTACTCTGAGTCCTTACTTAAAGGCTATGCGTATCCATAACGGAGCTGCAGGTACCCCCAACACACAATCAGATATTCTACTAACTCAGGTATATCCCTAAACCCTAACCCTCCAGGCAAATTGCCTACATACTTGGCCAGCCATGTAAGTCCATGTCTGGGGACCCACGAATTCCCGATTTATGCTATGTTTAAAACTCACATAAACGTCTGCCGAAACGTCCACCTCACAAATTTCCTTTCTCTTGGGTTCAGGGTATAGGCTTCCTGTTTTTGTTTGTTTCAGGCTTTAGGGTGTACTCTGTCAAGAAAAGCTTGCAATACCCATCGTCATAAATAGCCCCGGCCCATATTTCGCTAAATCCAAATCGCCCCACTGCAGCCTCAACCTCGTCAAGCACCCTAAACTAAACCCCTGAACCCTAAAACCCCAAACCCCTAAACACCTAAACGCCTAAACACCTAAGCACCTTGGTGCCTACACCTCTAAACCCTAAACCCCTAAACCCCTAAACCCCTAACCCCTAACCCAACCCTCAACCCCGAAACCCCTAAACTCGATTCCCCTAAACCCCTAAACCTAGTTCATGGTTGGATAGTATTAAAGTGTAAAATTCTATTCCTTATTGAACTTAAGTACCCTTACACATGTAAAATGTTACCCCACTGTCACAGAGAAACCTAAACCCTAAACCCTCTAGCCCTAGTGGACAGCCATATGGCAGGGCCTTCTGAACTCAAAACCCCAAAGCCCCTAAAACAACCCTAAACCCTAAACCCTAAACCCTAAACTAGCCCTTGTGTGGACAGCCATATAGTCTTGCTGGGCCGTGGGGCTCGTAGACGGCGCCAAACGCCGGCGCCTCGCCTTTGCTTGGTCAGCTTCAGTCAGGGTTTAGGGTTTAGGGTTTAGTTCGGGTTCAGGCTTTAGGGCTTAGAGCTTAGCTTTTCTTTTTGTTTTTGGGTTTTGGGTTTAGGGTTTAGGGTTTCGGGTTTAGGGTTTAGTAAGGTTTAGGGAATCAGGTACCTAGGGCTCCCTCAGAGGAAGAAATGAAGGGCGCCCAGTTGCCGGCAACTTCCTAAACCAGAGGGAGTCAGTGACGCCGGATCTGGCAGCTTGTCTTTGTTAGGGTTTAGGGTTTAGGGTTTAGGGTTTAGGGTTTAGGGTTTAGGGTTGAGGGTTTAGGGTTGAGGGTTTAGGGTTTAGGGTCTGTGCCTCTCTTGCGTTGTCGGTTTTGAATCTCCTCTTTGGCACCCCATGTTGTCTCGCAACTGTGAACTCATACCTCGGGCAATGAATACAACGTCATAGCTTCTCCGGTGCCTGCTCTTCTTCGGCACAAAGCTTCTCTAGCAAAATCCTGTTCGGTATGTTGCATTGCTGAGGGATAAGGGTTTTTGGCACAAGAGGATTAGTCTACATATTGGCCCGATTTGGTACGTAGCCAAAACAGAATGTGCAGTGTAATGGAGAACCCCCTGGTCCACAATTATTTGAGATCGGCCCCGATGTGCTAGACCTTCAGTGGTATCTCTCTTCTGTGCTCTGATATCTCTTCTCATCTCATTCTACAAAACCGCGGCTACATATGCTTCGTTCAAGCTCAACACCAGTAGCTTGCCAAGAGATTGCTACAGCAAGTGGCTCGTCTACTCTGAGGCAGGCAAGGGCCAAAAAACTGTACACCGCCAAGCCCGAGGTTTAAGGTTTAGGGTTCAGGGTCTAGGGTTGAGGGGCCTTAAACCAATACCGGAAATCCCAAGACACTGCAACCCCAACGCTCAAGTCTCTTGAGCCCTGAAACCCGGAAAGCTTGAGCCTTCAAGGCCCTAAAGTTTTAACCCTAACCCCTTACCTGGACCCCAAAGTAAAACAAAAAACAAAAAAACAGCCCAAACCCATAAAAGGACCATTGTTTTGTGAATTTTGGGGGTTGGGCAACCCTCAACCGAAAACTGAGACATCGGGTGGCGCAGCGGCGCCGAGGGCACGGCGAGAACCAGGTCTTCTGCCCGGGGCACCGCGTTGCGACGGGATTTGTTGTAGCGATACCTGGGCACTTGGTTTGGGGGTGCAAGCTGTAGGGCTTTCGGGCCTAGGTTTCTGTTCGTTGTTGGCTAAACCCTAAACCCTAAACCCTAAACCCTAAACCCTAAACCCTAAACCCTTGGACTTACCAACCAAAATGAACTCACATATTGCCAAGCCCCAGCCTCCTGCAAGGAACCGCCCCTCGCAAAGGCTTCGTTCTGCTTTAGGCTAGAGTCTTAAAGAGTTTTTAGGATTTAGTTAGGGTTAGCGGTTGGGGCTTCGGGTTAGGGGCTCAAGCTTTAGGGTTTAAGGTTGTTTAAGGCTTTCAGGGATGGGCTATTCTTGCCCAAAGGAAAAAGTTCTTTGTCTTCGAGGTTTGTATGCAGTCTTACCTACACCAAGTAACCCTAAAAACCCTACACGCCTGAACCCTAGTTGCTGAGCACCTGGGCCAACAAAGGTTAACCTTTCAATTATGGTAGGGTTATATATGACCAACAAAAGGCAAAAGGTTACCTACTCAGCTACTGAGTAACCCTACTACCAGCCAGACACACTACAACCTGAAAACTTTGTTATTCATTATAATGGCCGGTGACATCTTTATCTGTTACCCTTCTACCTTAATGTAGCCCCTAACTACCCGAACCGCATTATATGCCCCTATAAAACAGAAACCCTACTTAAAGAGACCACCAACCCATATAGGTTATGCTTGATGAGGAACCAGGGGCGCGTCAGGGTGTGGAGGAGCCCCGTGTTCCCCAAAGCCTCCCGTAACCCTCCAGGGGTTCAGGCCTTAGTTTTGGTTTTAGGGTGTGGGGTTTAGGGTGCTTCTTTCACGGCTGGGGTTGCAACACCCAGAAGAGTTATCCAGTCAGGCCAAAACCAAAACAGATCAGACCAGTCGCGTGCTGTGCTCTGCCAGGTCAATGGACGGGCCCTGGACCATTTGGCTTGAGATGGTTTGGGAAGTCCGGTTTGGGGTCAAAGTGGAACGAGCTCGTCAAGCAAGAAGAAGCGTACGGCGCAAGGAACCCGAGCAATCAACAACTGCTCCAGACCCCAAGCCTAAACCAGCAAGCCCCTTAAAGTAAACTCTTAAACCCGTATAACCCCTGAAGCCCTAACCCCTTAAACCCCTACTCCTAAACCCTAAACCCTAAACCCTAAACCCTAGGCCCTAAACCCTAAACCCTAAACCCTAAACCCTATAAGCTAAATTTGCACACCCTACGAGAGGGAGGCCTCAACCATGGAAGGCCCCGAAAGAAGCATGAGGCGCCTGCTCGATCGCCTTCTGCTCCTGCTTCTTTGCCTCGATCTCGGCCACAACCTCCGGTTTGGGGAATTTTTTGGGTTTAGGGTTTAGGGTTTACGGTTTAGGGCTAGGGTTTAGGGTTTAGGGTTTCGGGAATTTAGGGTTTGGGGTTTAGGTTATGTAGGTTGTTGGTCTCTTTAATTGGGGGTTTCTGTGTTGTAGGGGACATGGTGGGGTTCTTACTGGGGTATATAGGGACTATACTAAGGAAAACAGGAAACAAATAAAGAGCCTGACAACCTTCACAAGGTTTAGGGCTTTTGGGATTTGCGGGCCTTGGGTTTATGTCACTAAACCCCTAAACCCTAAACCCTAAACCCTGAACCCGAAACCCCAAGCGCTTCAAGTAGGCTTTGGGGCTAAAGGGGTTTCCATGCTTCAAGAAGCTCGGCTTTACAGGGTTGAGAGCTTGAGCCCATATAGGGTTTACAGGGTCTAGGGTTTGGGTCTATTCCCTAAGTTCAGGACTTGGATTCTTTGACATTGCCTCCCTTGTAGCCTCAAAGCAGGAGGGAAAGGGGAAAACCCTAAACCCTAAACCCCAAGCCCTAAACCCTAAACCCTAAACCGGCCACGATCCGGCCTTGGTGGCGACTTGGTGATCCTTCACCTCGCCTGCTGCCCGCAGTGCCAGGCCTCCACCAGCGCGGGCGGAGCTCCGAGCCCTGACCCTTGCAACCCTGGGTTCGGGGTGTAGGGTTTAGGGTTTAGGGTTTAGGGTTTAGGGCTTAGGGTTTTGCAACCACCCCCCCCCCCCCCCCACGGAAGGCCCCTTTGCTGGGAAGGCCCCTTTACAGGGAAGGCCCCCTTACGCGGAAGGCCCCTTTTGCGGGGAAGGTCCCTTTACGGGGAAGGCCCCGTTTGCGGGGAAGGTCCCTTTACGGGGGTTTACGAACACCCTAAAATAGACCCCAAATAGTAGGATTCCCTTATTCGGAAACCGCCATACGGTCACTTCAAGGCCATATAGGTCTCGAATTTGAAGGATTTAGGGTTTAGGGCTAGGGTCTATAGGGCGTAAGGTTTAGGGTTTCGGGGTTGTTTGGGATCAGGGCTCCCTCAAGCTCTCCAACACCTGCAGCTGTTTAGGGTTTGGGATTCAGGGGTCTGGGGTTTAGGGTTTAGGGTTTAGGGTTTAGGGTTTGGGGTTTAGGGTTTAGGGTTTAGGGTTTAGAAGGAGCCTCGCGGCCCATGTAGCACCATGGCCTGCGACAGAGGCGTTCTAGGTGGTTCAGCTCTAGCTAAGGGTACCCCTCTTGGGGAAATGACCATCAACTGTTTGAAGTAGGCGCGTTGACTACACGCAACCCCGAAAGATGTGTAATATTCATGAGAAGCCCCCTACATGGGCAATTTCCTAAAACAAAGGTACAACGTGGTACCACTTCTATAGCCCCCCCAACTGCTTCAATCGCTCGCAATAAAACGGGGGGGGCCTTTGGGGCTTTAGGGAGGGAGTCCAGGGTGTTGAGGGCTTAGGGTTTATTGGAGTTTAGAGTTTAGGGTGTTGAGGGCTTGGGGGCTTCGGGTTTAAGGGGAGGGCTTGGCTTATCGTGATTCGAAAGGGGTTTCTAGAGGATACTAAGTAGACTTACTAAGGCAAACGGGCTTCCAAGTACTGGCCTTTCTGCACAAACGCAAACCAGCGAAGTCGCCTGTCCCTAAACCCCAAACCCTAACCCTAACCCTAAACCCCAACCCTAAACCCTAAACCCCAAACCCCCGAACCCCCGCACCGCGGCCTCGACTTTGCCTGTCTCAAGACCACGAGCGAACTCCGTCACTGCAGGGGAGCGCCATGGCTCCTTCGGTTCAGGGTTTAGGGCTTAGGGTGCAGGGTTTCAACAGTGGGGTCGTAAGGTTCACAACTCTACACCTCCCCCCCCAGCCTAGCCTTCCCAATAAGGTAGGGAGAAGCACCTCACTAATAGGGTTGCAAGTAAGGCAGCTACAGCTATGACTGGTTTCAGCACCTCATTCTATAACTACCAATAAGCCTTCAAGAAATGAATCCTACTTGCCATGGTATGCTGAATACGAAGCCCTGACCCTAAAACCTAAACCCTAAAGCCTAAACCCTAAACCCTATAAACCCTAAAACCCTAAACCCTAAACCCTAAACCCTAAACCCTAAACCCTATCAACCCTAAGCCTCCACCTACACCAAACACCCATCCCCCTGAAACGTGGAATGTTATGACGCCTTGCCGCTCCGCGTGGCGACCGGCCCGGAGGCGCTTGTCGGCTCGTTGCACAGCGAAACGGTCTCCTTGTGTGGGATCTCGCGGGTTTTTTGAGGGTTTAGGGGCTTAAGGTTTTTGGGTTTTAGGGTTTAGGGTTAACGGGAGTTTGGGGTTTAGGGGTTTAGGGGTTTAAGGGTTTTAGGGTTTAGGGGGCAGCTTCCTTGCTGCATTTCCTTTAGGGGCATTCCCAAGTCCTTTGCCTTTAGGGTTAGCGGTGTAAGGTTGGTTTGGGGCGGTTGGGGTTCGAATGAAAACCCTAAACCCTAAACCCTAAACCCGAAACCCTAAACCCTAAACCGAGGGAACTTCAGGGTGGTCGACGTACAGTAAGCCAAAAGCAGTCGGCTTGAGCTAGAACCGCCGGCCGACTTAGGGCCACCGGCAACCCATCGGCAGACCCCAAGCCCCCCCACAAAACACCTAATCCCTAAACCCTTCAACTCGGAACGCTGTACCCCAAACCCTAAACCCTAAACCCTAAACCCCGCAAGCCCTGAACCCTGGCGTGCCTCCCCACCCCCAGGGCCTCACCGTGCATACAAGAGATGTTCAGTCGTTCTCATTTGCAGGTTGACGATATTAGGGGTACCTTGTTACCTTATTGGGGGATCCTACTATTTGGGGGTCTGTATTAGGGGTCCTTATTCTCGTAAACCCATTTAGGGGGCTTTTTAAGGGAACTTAGAAACGGTGCCCAAGAAGGGGCCGCCACATGAGCTCGTGCCCCCAATGCCTACTGCTTCCATGATGTGTCTGTCTGCTTCGAAAGTTGCCGCCTAAACCCAGCACTCTCAAAACCAAGACCAGCCCCCCTAAACAAACCCTAAGCCCTAAGCCCTAAACCCCTAATCCTAAACCCTAAATCCATAAATCCCTACATCCCTCAATCCTAAATCCCTACACAGTGCCCTAAATCCCCCACGCCCTAAACCCAAAACCCTAACCCTCAATCCTAAAAAAAACCTCAGCGCCCTGAGGGCGTCCGGAATGGGTCGCAGGGAGCTGGCACCTTGCACGGGTCTTCGGCTCCAAGCCCTTTGCGAATGAACAACTCGAAATCATCATCCATCCTAGTAGCCCTAAACCCTAAACCCTAAACCCTAATAGCCCTAAACCCTAAACCCTAAACCCTAAACCCATCATGGCCTGGATGGCTTAGGATGGATTAGTTGGCCGGGGGGGGGGGGGGGGGTGCGCACGTCAACATCTGAACCTAGGCTCGAAACGCTCGGGGTGGTTCCAGAGTATCCTTAAGGATTAAAGAGGGTGCTTTACTTTGATGGAGTGTCTAGGGGAACCTATCCCAAGGTCGAAAAAGTATAATAAGGGCCAAGTCTGGGCCCTAGCTTTGCAAAGCTCTTCCCCGTCCCAGAAGTTGCAGCCGCGTGATCTTAAACCCTAAGCCCTGAACCCTAAACCCTAAACCCCAAACCCTGAACCCTAAACCCTAAACCCCAAACCCCAAACCCTAGACCCTCCCTACCCTACCATGATGGCTGATCTGTTGGGGTGCAGGATTTGGGGTCTACTCGAAGGCTCCTGGTTGAAACCCCATGAGGCGATGAAAGCCACAGCCTTGGTTGCCCTACATATGCAGTTGCCTAGACCCAGGAGTAACCTAGGAATAAAAGGGTGCCCTTCTTGGTCTAACGGGGGTTAGGGTTTAGGGTTTAGGGTTTAGGGTTTAGGGTTTAGGGTTTAGGATTTAGGGTTTAGGGTTTAGGGTTGTAGGAGAACCCAAACCGACCCTAAAAAAGGGAACAAGGGCGTACTCTGGGTCCAAGTCTAAGTACCCATGAGCAGTAGCGTAAGCCTTGAACTTGAAATCAAAGGCTTATGAAGACTGCACACAATCAGTCCCAAGACCCCACTAAGGAACCTACCTTGAAATTAGAATCGGGACCCTGGGCGTTACAAATAAACCATCGGGATCCTAAACCCGAAGCCCGAAGAGGCATGAAGGTGATCCCTGCCTGGAAGCCATTCAGGTTCGGGGGTCGACTTTAAAGGTTCCCGGGCCCGGTGGGTACGCAGTCACCCTTGGAGGTACAACTATCCCTAAACCCTAAACCCTAGACCTAAGCCCTAAACCCCAACTCAAAGTTCATGAGCGCTTTGAAAGAATTAAGTGTTCAGCTTTTTGAGACCTCCGCCTGAGCGTCTTGGGTGCCAGAACTGAAACGAAGCCCTAGACGCCAAAAACCTTCTAGCCCCTACTTGGATTTAGCGTTTAGGGGTCTGAGGTAAAAAGGGTTTCAGGAATTCAGACTTCCTAGCCCTAAACCCTAAACCCTAAACCCTAAACCCTCAACCCTAAACCTTGGGAGTTCTGCTTCAACCCCACCTCCGGCCACCAGCGCGGTGGGCGGACGCCCCGAGCGCGAGGGTGGCGCTGAGCGCGTCTCGGCCGGGAAGTCAAAGAAACCTCGCAGGGACTCCGGGAAAAGGGGAAGGGGGGGGGGGGGGGGGGGGGGGGGGGGGGGGGGGGGGGGGGGGGGGGGGGGGGGTAGGAGGTGAGGGTCTGGGGCTTATGGTTTAGGGTTTGGGGTTTGGGGTTTAGGGTTTGGGGTTTGGGGTTTGGGGTTTGGGATTTAGGATTTGGGGTTTAGGGGGTTCAAAGAAAAGAAGGGGTTCAGGAGTTGAGGCTTCCCGGCTTTGCGGGAGGGGAGGTAGAGGATAAATAGGATTTCGGTTAGGAGGGCTGAAAGGACTTAAAAGGCCTTCAAGGGTGCAAACAAAAAAGTTTAGGAGTTTAGGGTTTAGGGTTTAGGGTTTCGGGTATAGGGTTTAGGGCTATAGGGTGATGACATCACAAGTGGGACATGCACCGTGCCCTCGCCTCTGCCCTCACTGCTCGCATTCGCAAGCTGCAGTTGGCGCGGGTCCGCGACGGTGTGCTTCACCGACATAGCTCGGTAACTAGACCCAGGAGTAACCTAGGAATAAAAGGGTGCCCGTTTTTGCTTTAAACGGGGTTATCAGAGAACCTAAACCCTAAAAAAAGGGAATAAGGGCCTACTCTGGGTCCTAGGCAATTCTAGCCATGTCAGTGGGACAGAGGGCCGCCGATGGTAGGTGTCCCAAGAGGCGGTCTTCAGGAACAGGTTGTCTTCAGCCCTACCCAGTCCCTCGAACCCGATAACTTGAAAACCCTGAACCCTAAACCCCAAACCCTAAACCCTAACCCTAAACCCTAAAACCTAAACCCTAAACCCGGAGCTTCAAAGGGATAAAGGCTTTGGGGCGACATCCGCCTTGCAGAGCTTCTGCAAGGTAGTCTCTTTTCGAGCTAAGACAGCTGAGGTCGGTCTTCACCCTAAACCCTCAACCCTAAACCCTAGACCCTAAACCCTAAACCCTAAACCCTAAAGTTTGCAGGTCTTTCGGCTCCCTTAACCGCAAAGACGGATGACACCCTGAACCCTGCAGCGGCAGGGGTGGCGGGGGTTCCGATACCGAAAACAGTCAGCCCTAAACCCTAAACCCTGATCCTTCTTTTCCTCTTTTTTCCCAAGTTGAACGTCAAGCTGGGAGTCTATGGCTTAGGGGCTCTTGGGTTTTGGGTTTGGGGTCAGAGGGCTTCGGTTAAGGGATTCAAGAAGGGACCCTTGTTAGGGACCAGAAGGGTACTGTAGGGGCTACTTTGGTATATAGGGACTATAGAAATATGTACAGGAAGTAGTGATAAGATTCAGGGTCCCTTCTAGGGGTCCCATGGGTCCCTCCTTACATCCCTTCATTAGGGCTCGTTTGAGTTTTGGGAACAAGACACAGGCCGCCCTCAAAATCTGAACGCGACCGCACAAGCATTTGGGCCGCACCCGCGTGCACGTGGTGGCCACGTTCCGCACTGCCGGATCAACACCACACCTGCAGCGGCACAAAATTGACAAACACCATGAACCCGACCTTGAAACCCAGTCGACAAAACTTTCATCTACAGCTCCGCATCATCATTGTTCGAATCTTTTTATGTTTCTTCGGCTAGATAATGCCCTACCTTGCTTTCAAAGGTAGAAGCCTAACTAACTCACCCCCTGACGCCCAAAACCCGCAAAGCACATGGTGGCTCCTGCCTGCCACCACCCATGAACCCCAATTAGACCCTAGACCCTAGACCCTGAACCCTAAACCCTAAACCCTAAGGCCTAATCCCTAACCGGTCTTATATAGGGCTGTTGTTTGTGGTTTCCCAAACCCTGGAAGCCCCAAAACCCGTAAACCCTCTATGCAACCCAAAACCCGCTAAACGAGACCCCCGAACCCACAAAAGCCCTGAACCCTTGCCCCGGTTTTAGGGTTTTCGCGTTTTAGGGTTTTAGGGTTTTAGCGTTTTTGGGTTTTGGGACCTGCGGGGAGGGGGGGAAGGGGGGGAAGGGGGAAGGGGGGAGGGGGGGAAGGGGGGGTAAGGGGGGAAGGGGGGAAGGGGGGGTAAGGGGGGGAAGGGGGGAAGGGGGGGAAGGGGGGGGAAGGGGGAAGGGGGGGAAGGGGGGAAGGGGGGGAAGGGGGGGAAGGGGGGGAAGGGGGGGAAGGGGGGGAAGGGGGGGAAGGGGGGGGAAGGGGGGAAGGGGGGGAAGGGGGGGGAAGGGGGGGAAGGGGGGAAGGGGGAAGGGGGGGCAGGGGGGGAAGGGGGGGGAAGGGGGGGAAGGGGGGGAAGGGGGGGAAGGGGGGAAGGGGGGGAAGGGGGGGAAGGGGGAGAAGGGGGGGAAGGGGCGTGCTCCAAACCCTGAAAACGGCTGAAATCCTTCTTCCCTGACGAAGTTGTTGGGATGTTGGTCTTAGGGCTCCGCAAACCCTAAACCCTAAACCCTAAACACTTGACCCTAAGAGGGTCCATGAACCTGCAGCTGCGGCACTCACCGCAGGAGTTTCGCCCCAAGCAGTAGACCTCCCCATCCTGGAAGAGGAAGATCCGGGCAGAACTTTACTAGACCCAAGGGACCAAAGGAGGGACCCTACTAGTTTAGGGTTTAGGGTTTAGGGTTTAGGGTTTAGGGTTTAGGGTTTAGGGTTTAGGGTTTAGGGTTTAGGGTTTAGGGTTTAGGGTTTAGGGACTAAAGGAGGGACCCTTATAAGGGACCTTAGGAGATATTTGGGGGGTTATTTAGGGGCTTCTTCGGTATGCAGGGACTATTGTAAGGTATATATAAGGCAAAAAGTACATAATAAGGCTTAAAAAAAACTAGACCTAGCAGTAACTTAGAAAAAACAAGGTGCACTTTTCCCCTAAAAGGGGGTTATTAGGGAACCTTAAACCCTAAAAAAGGGGAATAAGGGCCTACTCTGGGTCCTAGTTTCAGCACGTGTCTGTCCGGTTCAGGGTTTGCGGTCTATTGGGTTTAGGGGCGAGAAACTTGTTCCAGTCGCCGCAGAAGCCTTCAAGTAGCAAATAGGTTTTTGGGCTGCGGAAGGTAATAGGGGGGTCGGAAGAATTGCTAATAGAGTTCCGTTGTGGCCCGTATATATAATTACTAGAATACCCCCCCCCCCCTCAAAAAAAAAAAAAAACCGTATTCTACTTATTTAAGGCCCCTATAGTATTGATCCTCAGCAGCACGATAGACGATGTGAAGCGGGGATTTGATTGCATGGATTGGATCCTGAAAAAGACATCAATTTTCCACAGTTGTACCCAAAGTCCAAGGAATGCACACATAACATCATACACCCAGGCACTGTCGCACTAGCGCCACAGAGGGGGAAAGAAAAGGGGGTGCTCGTCGAACCCTCAACCTGAGGATCCTAGTGCCGCCCCGGAGGTCCACCCAACTTCCAACCCCAGCCCCTCCGCAAGCCAGCGCTAGTCTCCGGGGCGAGTCGGTGGCAGCATTTCCTGACAGGAATCTCCTAGGTTTGCAGGTGCTCCAATGTACTCGCTCGCGTACGCGACCATGTCACGCAGGACTCCCTTGCTCACAAGTTCAAGGTAGTGCTCGCATGTCTCAGGCATTGTGCGTTTTTTTGCACGAACCAAAAATGTTCTTCTTGATTTCTTCTTCCATCTCATTGCCAGGTTGGACAGATGTGAAAGTCCGGAAAAATTCCCGATCTTCTCAACTTCGAACTTAAGCTCGGCCATTCGTGTCCGGAGCGTCTGGACACTGCTGCCACCAGGAGCCCCTTGTGTCACCTTTTCGAGGTTCATGGCCTCGCCGAATTCATAAACAGCGTCGGACTTCTGCGCCGGCTCTTTGACTCTTTGCCAAGAGGGAAATGGCCCTCTGCTCTGTAGTCAGCACACTTGTAGGCATGTACTTTCTGGAGTTTACTGTAGGGGATTCGCAGGGTGCCCTTCCGCGTTGTCCTCGGTAAGGAACGCAGCGTGCGAGGTGCCCACAGACCTCGAGTGGGGGTTTGGTTTACGGTTTACGATTTAGGGTTTAGGGTTTAGGGTTTCGGATTTAGGGTTAAAGGGTTTAGGGTTTAGGGAAAAGGTCCTCATCCCGGTTCTTCGACTGGATTTTGGGCTCGCTGGGTTCTGGGGTTCTGGGGCTTGCGGTTTAGGATTTAGGGTTGAGGGTTTGGGATTTACGGTCTAGGGTTAACGGGCTTTGAAGGTTCAGGGTGGTCTTTAGGTTAACCCAGAGCGGGAGATCGTGCGCGCAACGCCTTGCACCGAAAAACCAAGCCAAAGACAAAACCTCTCTTTGTCCTCCATGGGATAGGCCCTACCCACAACCCCTACAAAAAACCCTAAGGCACCCTACGCCCTGCACCGCAAAACCCCAAGCCCTAAACTGAAACTACTTCCCAAACCCGACACCTGTGCGGCTCGCCAGCCTTCAACATACGAAGCCAATCCAAATAAAGGACTACCCTTGCCTTGGGGCCTGAGGCCCTGGAGATTGGTGGCTTCAGGTTTAGGGTTTAGGATTTAGAGTTTAGGGTTTATAGGGTTTAGGATTTAGGGTTTAGGGTAGAAATGCTGAGGCCACTGGAACAGAAACAAAAGCTTATGGCATCTGGGTCGGCCCCAGGAACATGGGCTGCCGGATCAACAAACAAAAAGAAAAAGAACAAAACAACTGCCGAGGGTTTAAGATTTTGGCCCGTTTAGGGTAGGGTTATTAGTTTGGGGATTGGGGTTTGGGGTTTAGGGTTTAGGGTTTAGGGTTTAGGGTTCCAGGAACATGCGGTCTCCGATATTTACCTCCTCGAGATCGTGGGTCAGAGACTTCCTCATGAATGTGCACCGCAAACGGCGAGAAAGGAAGGTCTCCATCGGGTGTAGTACCACATTCGTCAGCCGTGTTTTGCGCAGTATTCCCAGACGTTTAGTGGTGAACCGAGCGCCTGCTTCGTGATTCCTGCGCAATGGAATCTGGCCCACTCCGCTCGGCCTTTGGTCGCGTCGTACCTCGTCGAAGGTTAGCAAGGCGCACTGGACAAACTTGCGGCCCTGCTGCTGAAATGCACGTTCGACCTGCTAAACAACACTGACATGTCAGCATGTCAGGTACCAGCAGCTACAGATCTACAACCGTGTCCAGTCTTATGTACTCTGATGCACCCGGACTACAAGTACCTAACCCGGAGTGGCGCCTGCAGCAACGTGCGGGAAGGGTTCTGGATTTCCTATTTAAGGGAAGGGGCTCACTCAATTAAGAAGTCAAGCGATCAGGCTAATGGATAAGGCGTCGCCCTACTAAAACTCAGGGATTACCAGCTCGACTCCAGATAAGAGAAATAAATCCAGAAAGCTGGAAACCCTGAGAATTGCGGAGGTGATAAGTACGGAAAATAGGGTGGGCTTCATAATTAAGACATCCACGGTGCCCCCGCTAAAAGTTGGGAGGTTCCTTATCCAGAGCCCTAAACCCTCCCTAAACCGGGTTAGAGTTTAGGGTCCTGGAACCTATACTCTTAATAAAAAGAATAGTTTTGATATCCTCTTGGGCTTAAAAAAGATACTTCCCAAGGTGGATATAGGAACCCAACGCCCTCCAGCCTCCAAGACCTGGAACTCAAAACTGTAAGCAGCCCGAAAACAACTCCCAAGCAGCGCCCTAGAACCCCCAAACCCCGAAAAACCTTACATCTCGGAGGCCCTTCTACTGAGCCCTAAACCCTAAACCCTAAACCCTAGGGTTTAGGGTTTAGGGTTTGGGGTTTAGGGTTTAGGGCTTAGGGTTTAGGGTAAACCCGAAACCCGAAACCCTTTGACAGGAATAGGGTCGCGGCATCTGCTTCACGGGCCCCTTCAGGCCCCCAAGCCGGCGGCCACCGGTGCAACGCCTGGGTAGGGTTTAGGGTTTTGGTTTCGGGTTTCGGGTTTAGGGTTTAGGGTTTAAAGGTTAAAGGTTAAAGGTTTAGGGTTTAGGGTTTAGGGTTTAGGGTCCTGCGGGTCTTCGGTTTCGGGTTTCGGGTTCAGGGCTTCTGAAAGTTCAGAGTAACCTTGTATTCGTAAAGGAAATACATACCCAAGACTCAAGGTAGATTTCCCTTTGAAGGGTGCCAAGGTTCCTCCAGGTAGAGATGAGTTTTTTTTTAGGGGCTCCTTCCCGAAACTACGTTACAACCCAGACAAACCCTAAAAACCCTAGACCTTAAACCCTCAACGCCAACACCGCCACACACTGCCTCGACCCGCATTGAGAGCTGCGCGTTCTTGAGTCTTGGGCTTTGGGGTCCCTGAACCCTAAACCCTAAACTAGTAATTCCTTAAGAACCCCCACCCCCAAACAAAAGAAAAAACAACATTCTTCCTTATAAGGGTAGTATAGGGATTATTGTTTTTTTATTCTTTTGGGGTGCTTCAGCGAATAGCAGAAATGCCTGACACAAGGATGCCTGCAATGGCTGCGAGGACTACGCATCCCAGATCAAACCATGAGCCCCGAAACCCAAAATTCGCCTAAACCCTAAACCCTAAACCCTAAACCCTAAACCCCCCAAGGAAGAAAAAAAAGCAGGGCCGGTGGGTCCATCCCCAGCCGGTCTTCTGGGTCAAAATAACGGTTTTTCAGGGGGGGTTGAGATGTTTTTGGGCTTGGGATAGGGGTTTACAGTACATGTACAGGGCAAGCTGTAAATTCGGAGTTCGTGCTCGCTTCTTCGAGGTTGAGGGCTTCAGGGCCTTAGGACTCGTGAGATAGTCGGCTTCTCTCAAACCCAACCCTGACCCCTAAACCTTACACAAGAAACCCCAAACCCTGGCTTAGGGTAGGGCTTGGAGTTTAGGGCTCGGGGGTTTTTTATGGCTTAGGCATTCGGGTTTAGGGCCTAGGCTTACGGCTTAGGGCTTGGAACTTAGAGTTTGCTTCTTCGTCTTCTTCTCCGGGCTGCTATGAAGGTGTTGAGAAGCACGACCAAGACCCCAAGAGAATAGGGTTTAGGGTTTAGGGGCCTGAATAATTACAATAGGGCTTTCGGGGGGGCTATTATATTGTATGTATACAGGGGCCATAAGGGAATACTATTCGTAACTACTCCGACCCCTATATTAACCTCAATCCTAGACCGAGATCCAATGGGCAGTCAAGCACTTGCGCAGCTGCTTTGTCCAGCATGAGCCCGACTTGTGCATCTAAATTTAGTGCCAGAGGCTTCCTCTTTGGGGACTGGCAAGCTGGAGCATATACGCAGACTCGTGACCGATCTGGCACGTAGAGGCCACAAGAACAAGGCACCCCACTAGCAACAGACTTCTAGGGCTCAGAAGCCTAAGACTAGTAGACATTCTTCCGAAAAGCATTCAGCTTGGCCATACCTGGGACCCTTTTTACCTACAGTTTTATGGGTTATGCCTACTAGTTCAGGGTCGTTACTGCTAAACTGTTGGTAAATAGAGTCCCGCATAGGGTTTACATTCATTCCTGCCCCTTAAACACTCGGTTTGGGCCTTTTCCGCACAGCCGTGCCAGACCCAGGTTGATTCGTTAAAGCCTCTGAAAGATGTTCCTAACGAAGGTACTCTTAAACCCACCCCTAAACCCTAAACCCTAAACCTTAAACCCTCAACCCTACACCCTAAAGCAAGCTCCCGTGCGGATAGATATTAAAACCCAAATTTGGGGAAACATGAGCTATCCCGAGGGCCTTGCCAGGAGACCTTTGGCATGGTCCAACTAAGGGAGATACTTCATCTTGTACCCTATGAAACCACTACATCTACCTTGTAGAGTCCCCATATGACTAAGTAGCCCCGCTGTAGCCCCCAAGATCCCTCATAAGGGTCCCTCCCCTAGGTTCATGTAGGGGTTTTACCTTGGACCCTTAAGGTTGTATAAGGGCCATACTAGGAGTTTCCTAAGGGGAACCTTTAGGGGTACAACCTTAGGGCTAGGAGTCTGCATTCCTTGAGTTCAAGGGCCGCCGGAGTTCAGCCCCACAAAGACGGCCAGGTAGGCAAAGCCGACTACAGCGCCGTAGCCGATGAACTTCAGGGTGGGCGTGAGCATGTCCTCTCAGTCTCGGGATATCAACGGGGAAAACCCTTCCAAAACCCTACAAAGCCTTCTAAAAACCCATAAACAGCCCTTTCAAAACCTCATAAAACCCGAAAAATACAATCTCTGAACCCTGCAAGCCCGAAAGGTTCAGAGTTTGAGCTATTGAGGATACCGGCGGCTGCAATCTCGTTGAAGGTTCAGGCTTGGGTTTGGGGTTAATATAGGACTTATAGGATTTAGGGGAAAGGGTTCGAGGATCAAAGGCTTTGTGGTTGGATAAATGTCAGGCCCCGATAAGTAAAGCACAAGAAAATTTTGGCATTTCCCGAAAGAGAGGCGCAATCCCTTTTGTATACCCCAAATAGAATCGAAGCCCCTTAAGGGGACGCACAAAAAAAGGGTAGCCCGATTTTTTGGAAACCCCCATGTAAACACCTAAACCCTAAACCCTAAGAACTTAGTACTTGACATCGTGGTCCTTCTCCTCGTCCTCCTCTTTCGGTGGGTTCGTGAGCATGCCCGCATAATAGGACCTGAGTGGGATGCGGTTTAGGGTTTAGATTTTAGGGTTTAGGGTTAGGGTTTAGGGTTTAGGGTTTAGGAATTAGGGTTTAGGAAGGTTTAGGGTTTAGGGTTTAGGGTTTAGGGTTTAGGGTTTAGGGTTTAGGGTTTAGGGTTTAGGGTTTAGGGTTTAGGGTTTAGGGTTTAGGGTTTAGGGTTTAGGGTTTAGGGGCTTCAAACTAAGCTCCTCAGCAACCCAAGAACCACAAGTAGCCCAAAACCCTCTGAGCCATGGAATCGAAACCTTATAAAACCCTGAAAAACTTCTAAAAGTTGGACGCGCAATCTTCTAAATGAACGCGCTTCTAAATGTATGAAACCACATTAGCTATGAAGCTTGTGCTGTGTCCCGAACTCCAAGGGGATGAAAGCTGACGCTCAATCTTCTAAATAAACGCGCTTCTAGATGGAAGAAACCACATTAGCTATGGAGCTTGTGCTGTGTCCCGAACTCCAAGGGGATGAAAGCTGACGCTCAATCTTCTAAATTAACGCGCTTCTAAATGGAAGAAACCACATTAGCTATGGAGCTTGTGCCATGGCGGCTTAGAAAACTTAGTGAAACCCTACGAAACCCTATAAAACCCTTTAAAACCCTTAAAAAACCCTATCAAACCCTCTAAGCCCTGTAACCCTGTCAAAAACCCTATTTAGAAAACCCTGCAAATCCACGACGCTTAAGGTTCAGGCCAGGCACAGGGGCTTCTCCTCAGCCTCCTTCTCACTGGACTCCGCCCCCAGGGCCAGACCCCACCTCTGCCTTGCTGCCGGCAAGGTGCCGAAGCCTGAGGTTTCCGGAGCTGCGGTTTAGGGTTTAGGGTTTAGGGTTTAGGGTTTAGGGTTTTGGGTTTAGGGCGCCGCCCTAGAATCCCATCGCGCGCGGCTCAGGCGACAAATATGCATCATAACTGATTAACCCTACACCCTAGACACCCTAAACCCTGAAACTGAGTCCTCACACTTAGCTAAGGTTTAGGGTTTAGGTTTGATAGGTCTGATAGGGCTGATAAGGTTTGAAGTTGATAGGCTGCAGCCCCAAAACCTCTCAAACCCTGAATGCTAACCTTACCGGTGGAGGGACGGTCTGACTTGAGATCTTCGAAATGAAATTCCGAGCCTAGACCTCAGTCCTGCCAAGCCCGTAAAGTTTAGGCAGTTCAGGCTGTAGGGTTTAGGGTTTAGGGTTTTAAGCGCTCACCCCTTGGAGATTGAAGGGTTTGGAGTTTAGGGCTTAGGGCTTTACTTCAGTTGTAGGGGGCTTCTATGTGAAGTTTCATGTGTTTCTGCTGAATGTCGGTGCGTGCATACAGGTTTGGGGTCTGGGGTAGCTGCCTTTAACATACACTCATGAACATGCAGGTATGGGGTTTAATTGGGGCCGATGGTTGAGGGTTTTGTGCCTCAAACACACCTGCAAGCCCTGAAGCTCGAACTGTTAATGTTTTAACTCTTATCCCTAAACTAATATAGATCATACACACCCTAATAGACTACAGACCCTATAGAACTCCAGACCCTACAAACCCTAAAACTCTATACACTCTTTAACACCTATAAACCCATAAACCCTACAGACACTAAAAACACTATAAACAAAAAACTTAAACCTGAACCCCAAAACCCTAAGGTGGAGGGGGGAATCCCATTCCCCACACCGCTCCCCTCACGCCGCTTCCAGGTCAGAGACCCGGGACCCCTTTAATCCTTAACCCGGCTCAACCGTAGGCAGCCAAGCTTCCCCCGACGAAGCAGCCGCCTGAAGGCTTCGGGATTTTTGGGTTTGAGGGAACCTAAACCCTCTAAAGCCTAAAGCCTAAAGCCTAAAGCTTAAAGCTTAAAGCCTAAAGGGAAGCCTAAAGCCTAAAGCCGAAAGCCTAAAACCTAAAACCTAAAGCCCAAAGCCCAAAGCCCAAAGCCTAAAGCCTAAGGGGTAACGGGGGATGGCAACCTGAGACTCAGCATTTGGGGTTTTGGGCGTAGGGTTTCGGGCTTTAGGGCTTAAGGCTTAATTAGGGCTTAGGGCTTAGGGCTTAGGGTTTAGGGTTTAGGGTTTAGGGTTTAGGGTTTAGGGTTTAGGGTTTAGAGTTTGGGGCTTGGGGGCTTGAGGACTTTCGCCACAACTCGCTGCCTCCCCGGCCGCAGAGACCGCGCCAGAGGCTGCAGAGGCCCACCAGGAGAAGCAGGGCTGGGCCCAAAGGGGGTTTAGGGTTTAGGGTTTAGGGTTTAGGGTTTGGGGTTTAGGGTTTAGGGTTTAGGGGTTTAGGGTGGGTTTAGGGGTTTAGGGGTTGAGGTGTTGAGGCTTTTGACGTTCAGGGTTTTTCGGCTTGGGGGTTTAGGGTTTAGGGCTTTAAGGCCTAGGGTTTAGGGTTGAGGGTCTAGGGGTTTAGGGTTCGTAGGGTTTAGGGTTGGTAGGGTTGAGGATTTGGAGGCCTGTGAGCCACACAGGCCCCATCAACCCTGGAAAAACTCTAAGCCCCAATAAGCCCAGAAACCCTTTCTCTACCTAGAACTATAAGCCCCCCATAAACCGTAAACCCTAAGCCCTTCAGGTTCCATAATCCATAAAACCCTTAAGCTACACACTAAACCCTAAACCCGAGAACCCAAAAACCCTAAACCCTACACCCTAAACCCTAAACCCTAAACCCTTCAGGATGGAGTATGGTGGACTTCATGAGGAGATCAGCTCTGAAAATCCAGCGATCTCTTATTGGGCTTAGGGTTGAAGGGTTTTGGGGTTTAGGGTTTAGGGTTTAGGGTTCCAAAGAATACGGGTCTAGATTCCCAGCTACACCGTTTAGGCTTTAGTGCTTCGGGCTTACGGGGTTTGGGGTTTAGGGCTTCCAGACCTCATTCACGATGAGACTGCTGGCTTACGGCTCAGAGTTGAAAACGTACTTGGCATTCCATGGGTCGTTCTCACCGGAGACATAAGGGGGTTTCCGAAATGGGGGTACCCTCTGGGGGGTTTCCAATAATAAGGATTCTAGTATTTGAGCATATTAAGGGTACCTTAATTGCGGAAACTCCATATAAGTAGGGCCGATGTAGTCAAAACTGACAGTATGCCGACTTGAATTCCTTGACAACCATACTTGAGACAACCGTCGAACCTTCAAGGAAGCCCCACAAGCCGACTAAAGCACTGAGCCCTAAGCCCTGAGCCCCAAGCCCCAAGCCCCAAACCCTAAACCGCCTAAACCCCAAATCCCAAACTTACCCTAAACCCCAAACCCCAAGCCCCAAGCCCCAAAGCCCAAAGCCCAAAGCCCAAAACCCTAAAACCCCAACCCCTGCGCTGCCCTTGCGCCCTCAAAGACCGGCTCGGGGCCTACGAGTCGCGAGGCACAGGGTGGGCTGGCGGCCATGGCACCCCGCAAGTTGCTGAGAGCTGTGGTTCAGGATTTACTTAGGGTTTAGGGTTTAGGGTTTAGGGTTTAAGGCTTAGGGCTTAGGGTTTGGGGTTTAGGAGGGTTAGGGAGGGTTTCGGGTTTCAAGGTTCAGGGTTACGAGGTTCAGGGTTCAGAGGTTTAGGTTGTAGTGTCAACGAACTGACCTGGTTCTCAAAACTCAGAACCAGAAAAGCTGAGAGCTTCGGCTTTGGGAAGCAGGCTTTCGGGAGGGTTTGCTCCACTGAGAGGGCTTTTGCCCTCAGGCAACTTGGCCGTGTGAGCCCCAAGTCTAGAATGAGGGTTCAGGGTTTAGGCAACCCTAAACCCTAAACCCTAAACCCTAAACCCTAAACCCTAAACCCTAAACCCTAAACCCTAAACCCTAAACCCTAAACCCTAAACCCTAAACCCTAAACCCTAAACCCTAGCCCGCAGCTCGGCGGTCTAAATTGAGGGGTTTTCAAGTTTCACACCCCGCGGGGCACTTCGACTGGCTGGGGCTGCGGGCGACTGCAGCGAGGTCGCGGAGCGCTCCTCGATGAGGGTGGGTACCTTGTGGGGTTCAGGGTTTAGGGTTTAGGGTTTAGGGTTGAGGGTTTAGGGTTTAGGGTTGAGAACAAACCCTGGACTCTAAACCCACGTAATAGGGGTCTGTAACAAAGGGATGAAACATCACCGGGCTTCCTAGAAATTCTCCTTGTTTCACAGACGCTTCTGCTCAGTTCGATGAAGCCTACCACCCTGTCAGTGTGGCTAAGGGTTTAGGTTTAGGGTTTCAGGCTTAGGGTTTAGGGATTAGGGTTCTGCAACGGCGCCGTTTTTTAACACCGCGCATGGGTCCTGCCCATTCGGGTGAGAGCCCCGCGCTGTGAAACGTCCGAGATGGTGCCAGCAGGCTGTGCTGACAGAAGCATTGGGGTTTAGGGTTTAGGGTTAGGGTTTTGGGCTGAGGAGTTCAGGGTTCAGGGTGCGTATTTGAAGCTTCAACGCCTGGTATCCCAGCAACCAGGGCACCCTTTTCCGGGGCTGCTTACTTTATAGGGGAACCCAGAACTCAAACAAAAAAAAGTGTCAAGGGGTACCACTGGGCTACCATTTAAGGGGGGGCTTTCGGGGTTTGGGTGTTAGGGTTTCGGGTGCTTATATGAAGCTTCAAGGGTAGGTGTGAACGGGAGACTACAAAGAAACCTCTCCTGGAAGGGCCCGGAAGCCGACCTCGTCAACCCTTAAGACCCTTGAAGCCCTAACCCTAAACCCTAAACCTATAAACCCTAAACCCTAAACCCTAAACCCTTAAAGCTTAAAGCCCTAAGCCCTAAGCCCTGAGCCCTAAACCCTAAACCCTCATAAAGCCCTAACCCTAAACCCTAAACCCTGAAGCTTCCAGCCTCTAGCCTCGAAAGCCAGCAAAACTTACAGCCCGAGACCCTCAAAACCTCGAGCTGTATTGCAGAAGGGCATTTGTTCGAGAGAAGGGGGTGCCCCCATACCCGGTTTAGGGTTTAGGGTTTAGGGTTTAGGGCTTAGGGTTTCTAATCCTTAGAGGGAACCCCCCCCCCCCCTTTCACAAAAGAAATGGCCGACACTAAACCCTAACCCCTAAACCGTCTATCGTCGCAAGCTCCTGATGGGAGCGATGGGAGCTGCAGGACCATCTCAAGAGAGTGAAACAGCACGAAACCCCTCAAGACCCTAGAGGGGTTTAGGGTGTCTAGTTAGGGCTTAGGGTTTGAGGTTTAGGGTGTCTAGGGTTCAGGGTGGTTAGGGTTTAGGGATTGAGTTTAGGGTGTCTAGGGTTTAGGGTGGTGAGGGTTAAGGGTTAAGGGTGTCTAGGGTTTTGGGTGTTGGGGTTAAGGGTTAAGGGTGTCTAGGGTTCAGGGTGTTTAGGGTTTGGTTAAAGACGCCTTGAGCCGGTTCTAGGGGATTTGGTTTTGGGGCTGAAGGTTAAGGACCCTAAGTTAACCCTATAAACCCAAACCTGCCCTAAAACACCCCAAATCCTAAACTCTGACCCCTGAACCCTAAACTCTGAACCCTAAACCCTAAACCCTAAACCCTGAACCCTGAACCCTAAACCCTAAACCCCATTGAGGCTTCGGATCCTCCTCCTTGCGCCGCTGTACGTCGACGGGGGTGGGGGGGACGGGGGGGGGAGGGCGCTCCAGTGCGTGACTTTGGGCACAGAATTGGGGCGGCTTCAGGTTGAGTAGAGAAAGTAAGGAAGCCCATCCAATTTAGATATTGCCTCGGCAACCCTAAACCCTAAACCCTAAACCCTAAACCCTAAACCCTAAACCCTAAACCCTAACCCGAGCTGTTGGGCTGGAGCCCTGGACTCGTCTTGAAGGAGCTCGTATGGGGGGGCTTTAGGGTCTAAGGGATGAGGACTTATGGGGGGTGTAGGGTCTAGGGTTGAGGGCTTGGGCTTTATTTAAAGTTGCAGTTTTGAGGGGGGTTTGGGGACGTCAACGGTTGTTGACTGCCTAAACCCGAAACCCGAAACCCTAAACCCGAAACCCTAAACCTAAACCCTAAACTGCGATTTTGGAGCCCAGGTCCTAAATTCTACAGCCGTGCAGCCCCACTCAGGTACTCAGGAGCACATCGAAGTAGGCCGTCGGCACCACCGCTGTTTCGACCTAGGTGCTGCTTCAAAGGGTTATGTAAAGGGGATGGTAACTGACTGGTGGCACAACTGAGGATAGTATAGGGGCCTTAATGTGATTAGAATAGGGCCATTAGCCAGTACTCGTATCTTAGGGGCATAGCAATGGCAGGGGTTTAGGGAAGAGAGCTTCAACCAACAGGCTGAAGCAAAGCTCGCACAGCGCACTACGAGGCATCTGGAAAGCCACTCTACCCTAAGGACCCTGAAAGGGGTTACCCTGTATATGCACCCTTTAAAGGCGGTAAGGGACCACATTAAGAGCCCATGCAACTACCCTTTAATGTACCCTAAGCCTTGAATCCTAACTTAGAAGAAGCCCCCTGCATAGAACAGAGTCTCAGAACCAGCGTGCCCTGCGTTCGGAAGCAGGTTCTTTCAAGCTATGCTGGCTGCCACAACCTTAAAACCTAAACCCTAGAGCCCAAGCCCAAAACCCTAAACCTCGCAAAAAGGAATAAGTCTACTTCAGGGTATCCGAGGAGATTACCAGGCTGCCCCTTACAACCCCGTAGACAAAATGAGAATTAATAGTTATGGATTACCCTCCTGCCGCCCTCTATACTACCCCCCCCTAGGTTCGCCCCGGAAGTAACCTGTATCAGGCTTTCATATCCCCAAAGTAGCCTTAATTATGGGGGAACCTAGGGGGGGGGGGGGGGGGGGTAGTAGAAATAAGATCCTCTTCAACCCGAGAAGAGCCAATATGAAATGGGGCCTTAAACCCTCAACCAAGGGTTTAAGGGTCTAGGGTTTGGGGCTTAGGGGTTTAGGGCCTAGGGTTTGGGGTTTAGGGGTTTAGGGGTTTAGGGGTTTAGGGGTTTAGGGGTTTAGGGGTTTAGGGGTTTAGGGGTTTAGGGGTTTAGGGGTTTAGGGGTTTAGGGCGACCCTAAACCGCTCACTTCCAACGAATCGGGAGCCCCTGGGGCCGCACGACAGACGCGGCAGATGTGTTCGAAGAGTTCGTGTCGACTTTCACGTCGACTATGAAGTCCTCGCTCGGACGAAGCTCCTGTGGATTCGATTTATCGTGTTGAAGGAGGCCGGAGCCTAAACCCTAAACCCTAAACCCTAAACCCTAAACCCTAAACCCTAAACCCTAAACCCTGCGAGTTCTTAGCGCTGAGTCTGGAGTCCCCTTTGTGGCTTCCCCAAGTTTATGGCTTCGGTTTGAGGGTTTAGGGTTTGGGGTTTAGGGTTTAGGGGGTGTAGGTTTGAGGGTTAGGATTTCGGGTTAAGGGTTTAGGGGTCACCGGGAATCAAGTGTGTTTGGAGGGGCTTCAAGGCCTATAGGGCTGAGAGGGCTTTTAGGGTGGTTCAAGGTGTACCCTTCCAAGCCTGGTCGACCACTAAGCCTTACAAACCCACAGCCGTAGACATGCAGAACTCGGGCTTCAGGTGCTGTGGGTTCTCTTCCTGGAAAAAAAACTCCGAAAAACAACGAGTCTTGAACGACATCCTCCGAAACCCCAAGACAGGAAGATACGACAATCTAGGACCCTATACCCTAAACACTAAACCCTAAGCTGCCCTAAACCCTACACCCTAAACCTTCGACCCTAAACTTTAAACACCCTACACCCTACACCCTACACCCTACACCCTAAACCCTAAACCCTAAACCCTAAACCCTAAACCCTAACAGGGGCACAGGTACGATAACGATGCTTCTAACCCAGGATGACATTAAGACCCTCTGAAGAACCAGGGTTTAGGGTTTAGGGTTTAGCATTCCTAAATCTGATCCTCTGAAGCCCAATAAAAGGGATAAACATGAGATTCTTCAGGGGCCTGCCTAGAAAACAACCCTAAACCCTAAACCCTAAACCCTAAACCCCAAACACAGCTAGGAAGTGTCCTAAATCATGCTTCTAGGGCCTACCCTGGGAATTATCTTAAGTCCCCTAGATCATCCCTCAAGGGGGTATATAAGGGGGAGAACTCTTATGGTACCGAATTCCCAGCTTCTTCTGTCCATCATACCTGTTCAGCCACACCTCCTCGTCACCCAGGAAGCCGACGCGCAGGAAGGCCTCTCGCGGCGTTTAGGGTTTAGGGTTTAGGGTTGAGGGTTTAGGGTTTAGGGTTTAGGGCCCGGGTACTTGAAGGTCCATGGGTAAAGTACCACCCCCCCACCCCCTCTCCCTGAGCTGAAGGCATACCTGAAAGAACCACACCAGCAAAGCTGAAACAAAGGCGACACTTCGAGTTGCACAAATGCCCCGCAAAACCCCGCCAAATGACCCTGAAAACCCTACACCTTTTGAAGGATTTCTGGCTCAGGGCTCTGGAAACCCGATTCCCCAAACAA